GCCATTTTGAATCAAAATGGCTACCATTATGAACTGTATTGTCACAATTCATTCAAAAAAATTAAAGCCTTGTGTTAAGACAAATAATTTGATGCAAACATTGCTAAAATTGGTTGAAAAATAAGAAAGGACCAAAAAATGTGTAAATTTCATACAAAAATTATTTAATGGCGGCCATTTTCGCTCTTAGCGGGAAAAATTGAAAATCACAACATGCTTTGATAACTGCTTTAATCGCATGAAAAATTTCATGAATGAATCTTAAACAGTTTTTGAGATATGTCCATTTATGTGTCACTATTGTACAATACATTACTTATTGTTGTAATATTGGCTTCGGTGCCAATCATCATTTTAATATCAAACAGACTGGGAGAGCAAACAGAGAGCCAATTTTCTTTTGTCCTTCTACATACTGGTCCAAATTTTCATAATTGTACCATCTGTAATGAGTTAAACTATAAAATCTATCTAGAATGTGTTATACCTTGCATATTTTTTGTCAATTGATGGAGCAATACGGCTAGCGTGTCCTATTATGCAAAACAGAGAATAGCATTTAATGGAAATTGTGTATGGCTATTCTTTTTATTAGAGCAAAACATGTACACCTCTATACAGTATTATTATAGACTATTGTACACTCTGTCAGAAAACAAGCAAAAAGTGTTGAAGATAATATGTCTATCTGAGTCAATATTAGCCTTCAAAGATGAGCTACAATGCCTATAAAATTGCGGTCATCTAGGATAAAAAAGGGGGGATGAATTAGAAATTTGGAACACTCGTAACTTTTGAACCAGAGGTCCGATTTACAAAAATAATAGCTCAAAATGTTCGTCTCAATAAAATACAAAAATTTCAATATATTCCCTGTAAATAAATGGGCCTGGCCTCTCTACATTCAATTCAAATTTAAAAAACTTGGAAAGTCTCTGTTTTAGCGGTGTTAGTTTTTGCCCGTGTGTTTGTAATGTTTTGTGACTTATCGTCCTTTCTTTTACCATAGTGCTTCTTCAACTTATGTTTTTTTTTATTTGTTTCTAAGCATCTTCTTTTACTTTTCAAATATGTTTTGGAATTACCATCTGCTTGAAAAGGAGAAAACCTAAGACGTAATCAACAACGTACCGTAAATTCCCAAAATAACAACATAGATGTGTGACACAAGCTTACAATTTTAAACAACAACGAAGAATGATTACCATAACCGAAATCAAAATTACACTAGTCTTACAGAGTAACAGCATCGAGTCCATTACAGTCGGGGAAAAAACAGTTCTGTCTGATTAAAATAATTCAGCTACTCTCTAGAATGTAATAATAAAAACACGTTTTTTAGAAGTTGACAATACGAATTCTGAATTAGAATACAATACTCAAATTCACTGTTTTCTGGTAACGTTAGATTGTCAGGTTCTAACACATAGAAACAGGTAAGTGAGAAAGGAACTACAAGAAAAGATGTTCGAAGGATATTGTTGCAGAACCGTTAATCATAGGTCTTTCTTAAGGAAATGACTAGATAATAGTGTCATGGAAATGAATATTCAAACATAAATAGGTACGTCATATCATAGAAAAATATTTAACGAAACAAACAGTATTCATTTTCAAGTTATGCACGGGTGATAAATAATAAACATTAGGGAAATAAGTGCGACCTGAACCCTTGGTCGTAATTCAAAACGTTTTGAAATAGGTAAAATCCGTAGCTTTATGGTCCGCAAATTGTCAAAAAATATCATAAGGACCTATGAGCTACGGTTCTGCAGCTAGGAATGATACTACTTGTATATGTATAACTCAGACTCTTATTCGAAAAAAGTAAAATCATAAAAATACCGAACTCCGAGGAAAATTCAAAACGGAAAGTCCTTAATCAAATGGCAAAATCAAAAGCTAAAACACATCAAACGAATGGATAACAATTGTCATATTCCTGACTTGGTACAGACATTAATTTATGTAGAAAATGGTGGATTAAACCTGGTTTTATAGCTAGCTAAACCTCTCACTTGTATGACAGTCGAATGATCGAATTGAAAATTTAGAATCAGAATTGAATATCAAGATTAAAATGAGAAAGCCATTGGTGCACAAATTAGAGCCTGAGAAAACAGGGTTGAATTTGGGAGACTTGAAATGCAAAGGAAAATTAAGAAATCGATAAACATGATAAATGAATAATTAGAGAAAATAAATATTAATTTAAAGCAAAATACTGCTTGAAATTAAAAACCAATTATTTATTGCATCACAAAATCCGAATGATACATTATCTCAAAAATACATTTACAACACAAAAGTAGAAAAAAATCAAAATAAAATAATGCAAACAATTAATATGTTATGATTTGATGATATGACCATCCGCTGTTTTCGGAGAACATCAGGGTTCTTTAGATGGCGTCTAGTCTAAAATACCTTTGAAATTCTTATACATTATTCAGATCTAGAGTTCTGGTATAGGTAATTGTTTCTTTTGGACTTTTTGTAAATTTGACATACGTTTTAGTGTGGTATAAAATATGAGAAATTGGGTCCAATCAATGAACATGTTTTTGACAGTAATTGTCCCTTTAATGTATACATTGTATAATTACAGTCATAAAGAAAAAGTATTAGCCTAACGGAATAGTGTTTAGTAGTCAGTATTAAAAAAAAAAGGGGGGGGGGATGTTAGAATTAGAAAACTATAGACACATTTCAACATTAAATGAAGTTCTTAAAAGTTTGCTCTATGCATTAGTTTAACCACTCAAACAACCTCTTTCAAAATTGATAAACTCTGATCAATCTGGATACATAAAACGTAGATTTATTAGATTAATTTTAAGGCAAATACAAGATGTTATAGATTATTCTTTATTCTGACACATATTATATAGAAGAGGCTATTGTGTATATCGATTTCAAAGAAAAACTTTGACTCTTTTAAATAAAGATTTATTTTAGATACGTTTCAAAGAATCATTCATTTTGTTAAAACTTTGTATAGATAAATTGGAATATGTTTTATGAATAATGGGTGGGTTTCTCTTAAAAATTATGGAGGATTAGCCAAGGGTGTCCTGAAGTGTATCTGCTCTACTATATGTCATATATGTTGCACTATTGGCATTGCGACTTAACAAAGATATAAAAAAAAATCAGTTAGCATTTTGATAGGAAATCACATTGTATAAAAATAAGCTGATTTCGGTTTTAGCTAGCTCAGCGAGGTTTTTTTCAGCAGAAAAACAGAAGGAATAGAAAGAAAATGTTTATAAGTTTAGAGACATGACAAACCAGATAAAGTTAAAGAAATACAACAAATGGCAGTTATGAAAACAGGGGTTTGATAATAATTGATGTTAAAAGTCGCTTTGAAGCAATAACAGTATCATGGATAGATCGATAATTAAACACAAATATTGAAAATGGCAACCTAATTCCAGGCTAAGGAACATTTTGCATAGCATTTTATATGTATACGGATTCTGATCAAAATTTACCTAGTATTCCAAAATTGTATATATAAAATGTAAAAAAGCTGGCTAACACAGGAGGATAGAGGATGTCATTGAACCAAAAAACAATTTACGAATTTGAAAAAAAATTTGGGGGGAAATAAATACATTAAATTTGATAAAAATAGTCTATTTTTTCAAAATTTGAAATAAACGCTATGTTGATTGGTGTTATATATAATAACATATCAAAATAAAAAGGTAAATTGCACAAAATGCAAAGGATAAAGAATATAATCAACTGTACAAGAGTTTTAACATCCTCATTAAATGCAACGCAACGGATTGGGTACACTGTCGTAGATCAGAAAATTCCGTGAAAAGTATAGTAAACACTGTAAAGTAAGATACAATTTTTGTCAATATATGACAATAAGATGAATATTTGTCAAATAAGTTATCAGTACAGTTTAGAAGAAAACAAATTGAAGACGCAGTCTTCGCACTCAAACACAGGCCCACCAGCCCAGGCTTTCAAAAATGCTGTAGGGCCTGTAAAATTTATCTCTACAGGCCAATAGATTCTAACTAAAATTTTGGTAAAATTCAGCTTGGGGCCTGTAGATTCAAAAGTTTATCGTGACGACTAAAGACGTTGTACACAGTATCTTGCCTACAAAAAATGTACTGTTTAAATGGAAGGTAACAAATAATGATTTTTGAAACAAATGCTTTACTGGAGATGATTACTATCAATATTCTATATGAGGCTGCTTTTTGGAAGATTTTTTCAACGGTAAATATAGAAAATCAACAATTTTATCAATATAATAAACAACTTTTCGGCAGATTAAGTGACACAGTTTTTCCAACTTTTCATTTAAACGGCCAATATCTCTTAAATAAAAAATCCAATTTCCGAATTGATAACAAATTTAAAGTAATAACTGTCAGAGTATCATAAAATGTTTTTATTGATAGTTTTAGATTTTAATTCAAGCGTAGTCATCCTAGCCGCTTGTTCGTTCTTAGGTTAGTATACAATTACCACTTTGTTGTGTAAAACGACAATCACAATTAATACAATAAATCATTTTGGCAAATGTTAACCGTAGAAGATCTTGTTTTGATTATAGATCGACCAAATGTAAACTGCATCAGTATAATGATTGTGTTTTTTAATGTCTTGTAAACACCCAAGTTCCGAGATAAATGATGTCTACGATCGCAAAACTTCAGAAAGAAGGTACAATCTATCAGTAGTGGTAGTCAAATGGCTTATCTTTCTAAAAGTACTTCAGTTTTACTAGAAATAACGTATATCCATTGTTTAGACCAGAATGTATTTCCTTCTATAATGCTCTGAGAGATGATTTAGCCTCATCAGCAAAATTAACAATCATTAAGTTTCAAGTATTTAAAACAGCCATATATACAAAAGCTTATTCTGCTTTTTTGATTGAAATTTATCCGTTTTTGCAATATATACATGTACATTTATATACTATTATCCCGAACTTTGTGTTAATTTGAAATATTCACCTTTTACAGCTAGATAAACTGTAGCTATAATACTAAAAGATCCAGTGTCAATTTGTAGATATGCACTTTGCTCAGTTGTTGTAAAACTGATACAGGACGTTCTGTTTCCATCGATTGATAAACTAGCAGGTCGATTGGAGTTAGAAGGATGCTGATTTGCAGTTCCGTCGTGTGCCATATTATCTGAAGATTAAACAGATTAAACAAATTGAATGGGTTATGACATGTCTTTTTTTTTACCTTTTTAACTACGTTATCTGTGCTATATTCATCTCTAAACCAATCAAATGAATAAAAAATATGCGGCAGTTTGGCGACTCATCCAATGAGAGAGAGAGAGAGAGAGAGAGAGAGAGAGAGAGAGAGAGAGAGATTAACTACTTATTTTTTTGAAGATATAAACAACTGGTGGTAAAGAAAATTGAAGCTTTTAAGTAACAATCAGTACACAGCTAACGAATTTAATGTGAATATGTAATAAACAGTTTGAAAAACGTAATGCAAAATTTAAATACATAATATCATAATATCGACAGAATGTAGAACAACACGTTTTCATATCTGTAATAGAAGTGCACATTTAGTTATGTTTAACTTTATCAAATACAATACCAATATCAGTAATGATTAAAAGAATATGCAAAGATACGGTGTTATATTGATATCCTTTAAGAATAAATTGTATTCAAAGTATCAAAGAGATTAGGTGGTTCGTATCTAAAATTGTTTGTCTAGACGTCATCTAATTATTCATCGAGATGACTCCCAAAGACTACCGACGGTCATTTAATCCGATATAAACATAAACATAAATATAAATAGATAGCGACCACATGCAATTGGAATTTTCATTGATTTCATATTTTAGGGTAAAAAGTATGTTTGTCATCGTCTTTACTTGAATAAGGATGATTTCAGTGGATCAAATCAGTCAACCAAATGGTTCATCCTTGTATCACTTTCAATGTTGACATTCTTTTCCTTTTAATAGATGATACATGCGTAAACCATATCCAGCGGAGAGGTTTATTTGAAGGTCACATTAATACAGAATAAATGAGGTCGAATTATTCACCTGCAAGTGAATAATTCATCAGCAATGTTTCTTAGCTTATTTTGACAAAACTGAACCAAACTGGCTGCTAGATGCGACTTGTTATTTCACTATTTCACTTTCATTAATGATTGAACAAAAACTAAAATCATATTTAATTTTTTATTATATCTCGTAGCTAATTCCCCTTTAAGTATAGTATTGTACGAAATGCCTGACAAAATAATTTATCAGTAATACGTTCATTAAAATTTAAAACATAAGCAGAGAGCGAAATATTTTTTTAAAATGTTTTGCTATATCTATCTAAAGTAAAACATAAATGAGGGGAAAAAATTCCTGGATATATCAATTGTTTTTAAATTTTGATGAACAGTGAATTTATTGAAATAGACAGCATCAATGATATTTCTTCGCAGCACTAGATTGCTGACAATGGGCTTTTGATATCCTCGCAAATGAAACGTCCACCAGTACTGGTATATATCCAGTGGTTTAAAGTCCATACATATACCATACTACAATTAAGTGCGGAAAATTTAATTTTGATAAATAAAACATTTGAAATTAATCAAAATACATTTAAAACATTTCTAATTGGTGTGGTCATGGCTAACAGTTAAAACTTGTTAAAGCTATTCAATACATACGATGTGAACAGTGTGTTCCCGCACGTTCAAGCGTACAACCTGTAGTACAAACACGTGTATTAGCATCGCATGTGTTTTGAAGGCAGTTCATTGAATGACAACCCCAAACACAAGAACCATTTCCAGGGTAACATTGTTGGTGTATACACTTTGCTGAACACTGCTGGGAACAGTTTGTTCCCCAAGTTCCTTTCCAGCAGCCTACAAAGAAACATAAACAGATTACTTTGCCCACGCTAAATTTCACTGCATCTTATATCACATTAAAATAATTTCAAAATAGTCTGCCAAAAGAACAACTTCACATATTGACGCGACCTTAGCGTAGTCCGTCAGGAATTAAGGCAAAATATATCATTATATTGAACTGAACACTTGCGCAGGAGCGAGACACTAAGGGAATGGTTGGTGTATTTATAAGAAAATAAACCTGAAATTATTAATGTATTCCTATCTTTGAGTTACAACAAATAGTTATAAAAACTGTCGATTGTCAATCTGGAAGTAAATTTCTATTCATCAAAGCCTCTCGATTCTACGGTAACAGAACGTTCAAATATCAAAACACAAGTTCCCTGTCAAATCCAAAGTCATTTATATGGACATCAAGCGTAGCAAGCCCACAAAGTCTATCATTATATACAGCCATTACAGATCGTTCCAAGTTTTTCAGACGCTTTAAACATAATAAGTGTTCTTACAACAGACTGAACACCGGTCACCAGCAGATAAAGAACATATTTTAATATAATAAAAACTTTAGGACATAAATCTCTGCTTGCAGGCTTTTTTGTTTTCTGAAGAATTCCTACATCTCGTATTGGTACTGTTTCTTTTTCCTAGGACTAATCTTGTGTACCCAGTTTTTACCAATCTTACAAGAACAGATTTATAAAACATACTGAATCAGATGAATCTTTAAGGAAATCTGAAAATTTGAATTTTGTAGCATCCTTGAGGAGTATAAAATGCAAGAATGGAAATGTCCTCATTAATTTAAGTTATTAAAAAACAAAGACCAGAGGTACATGTATGAAACAATTCCCAGAGACTGGTTGATATTCTATAGAGTTGAGGCAATGACTTTTTTTTAATTTAAACTTTTTGATCAATGCAATAAAAATTTTGGGGTCACCTAGGTTTGGCAGTGTACATTTGTATAAATGATTACCGGTATGTGCTTTGCAAGAATAAATTAACAATTGTTTGATTAATTGAATTAAAGGTGGTTGTGCTAAGTTTCTGTACAAAATGTGTGAGTCTTCTAAGAAAGTTGAAATAGCAAGTGGAAAACTTCAGGTCAGAAGATGTTAATCAAATTTGTTATCAGTTTTTAGGAAGTTGCGCATTAACAACGCGTGACGCTGACGACTCGGTGATAGAAAACTAAGGGGTTTATATGTTGCTACAGCTTCCTAGTCAGTATACACAACAACCGCTGTATCCATAAACATAAAATGTGACAACTTAAAAACAAAATAATTTGACTAAATATTTAGATAGGTAGTCCCCATACAGGCGATCTCCTCAAACACATTTTTTATTCAATTTCTCAAGTCACTGCGCCTCTTCAACTTCTGCTTCTTTTTGTTTGTTCGTCAATTGTGTAAAAATCGTGCAACACTAACCTTTCGTTGTATTTTGGTGAGTTTTCCAAAAAACAAATCTGTCAGAACGAAGACAAAAAAGACAAAAAATGACATGATAAAACAGATTACCGGGTTTTATGCTTAAATATATTGCAAAAATCAGCCGACACATTGGGAACGTCCAATTCATCTGTACCATTAAAAACAAAATAAGAAAAGAGGATGACGCATAAGCCACAAGAACCGAATACAAACTCATATATTGTGGTCAATCAATCTAAACACTCGTCGACAGAGGCCGAAACATCTCTACTCTCGAGAGGCTTTAATCTGTGTCCTTTAGGGAACGCTCATATTTTATCAATTGAGGGGGTCGGTTAAAATTTTTCACATTAAAAAGTTTTGTTAGCAAGCCCCCCATAATTCTTATGAACCACATAATGACCTCCCATGCCCCTCCATACCCACCGTCTTTAGAACATAGTTTCAAAAGTTTGTCTACCCCCAAACAAATACCCCTATCAATAAACAGTTGAAAGAAGTTGACTGCAAGCTACAAAGTTACGGGCATTGACTTGAAAAATAGCTATGAGAGGTATGTGAACATTCACTACCCTTGAGAGATTAGGCATCCTGCTTGTGCTGTATACTATCAAAGATTTAATAAAGACAGATATTATTTAAGAAATTTCACACTCACTTCAATATTGTCAACAATTTATATGCTTGTCAGACATAAACACTTTCATTGTGTGACCCCCCTTCCCCCTCCCCCTAGCTGTATGATATTTTGGTGATGACCCCCCCCCCCCCCCTTAAAATGCACCGACCCCTCAGCTGATAAATAATGACTGTTCCCTTACCTGCCCTATCAATGAGACAAAATTGTCAGAAAACAAGATGAAATAAAATCATATTGACAATAAATGGTCTTTCATCAATGTCAGTCCCTTTTCAAAATGTGACAAAACAATGACTTTAAATCGTCTCTAGTATGGACAGTGCAAAATTGGTGGAGGAATCAAACTGTAAAAACTTTGTTTTTGTCGTGAATTCTAAGGCATAGAAGGGATCTGGTCTATTCGAAAAGGGTACAAAATGAGAACGTCGAAAGTTGGCAAATTGAATATTTTTGTATATAATTTACATCCATTTTTTTTCTTCAGAAACGCACAACAAAATTAGCTTTGTTCCCGTATATTTTTGACATCCCTTTATTTGTGTTTAATAGTTCATGTTGGTAAAGATGGAAAATTAAATCCACTGGGATCATTTTAGTTTGACAGCTCAAGGATTAGTCATCAAACTTTCCAGTACGATTAGTATACTCAGACTAAAAATCAACCAATCAAAATACTGGATTTGGTGTTTCGAGCACAAATTTTGCACTCCGAGTACTAAGTTAATTTTTGTGACCTAAAGGCCTGACATTCTCATTTTTAACCTTTTCGAATGGGTCAGATCAAGTCTTTGCGTTAGAATATATGATTCAAACAAAGATTTTTTTACAAATTGACCCCTTTGCCCTTTTTCCTCTGTAGCATGCGGAGATAGACTAGAAAGGTATTTGGGTAGAATTAACGTGTAATACATTGCCATACTAGGGACTTTATATCGAATAATGATTCATATTAAAAATCTAGGCTTAAAATAAGCATAGATAATTTAATTGAAGAACAGACCTGCGATGTCGCGGATGTGTTCTAGTGGGAAATGTAAACATACGCATTGACGCTTGCTTAGTATTGATTTTTTTATTGGATAAAGAGCTAGATTATAAAACAAAAAGCACGTTTACCTGTATAAGTGAGTGCCAGTTTGATTATGATGATGTACAATGAATCATGTCAATCTATTTTGATTCACCTAAAACAATCTTAAAGTTTACTGATATCATGAATGTACAATTAAAGACCGAACAAGTCAACGCTTGTTACGTATAATTCTAAAATTTCAAAAAAGACGTAGGTGAACCATTTTCATACTGATGAAGGATAACTGTTATCCGAAATAGATACTTACATTTATTGTTTTCTTTTTTTTTAAATATTGGTGTTGTTTTGTACACTTTTTCAGGCGTGTATATATAAAGAGCCTAATAGCTTATCCGAACAATGTTAGTAGTTTTCACCCTCAAAATCGTCTGTACACACAGATGTGATTTAAGTCATCTCCCTCGAGACAAACATCCAACCATTTTTTACATCTTTCGACGACCATGCGACTAGCATGTAAAGACGGAGGTTCTAACTACTACAATAGATCCAATCCTCAAAACAGGCAGTTTCACTGAGATAGTGTTACCATGTTTTTTGTCTGGATCCACGTGTAAAAAATGTAGGTTTTCAATACTATATGTATTAATATTATACTAATATTATAGTAATCTACAAAAGGCCCAGGCATGACAAAATGTAAATCAATTCAAACGAGAAATCTAATCGTTACGGTATGATTTGTGCATAAACAATGTTACATTATTCAATTACTTGTTATCATTAGTTTTTAACTATGCCAATTATATGTACCTGTACAAAGTAGGCAATATCTGGATTACTTGCCTGCATATACCATGCATGTCTCAGTCACCATTACAATATCAAAATAAGAAGCAATACTTATTATAGGTACCCGACAGGACTCGTTCTAAAAGTTCTAATTTTGCTGTATGACATCTGTATTTATATTTATCTTGGTAAGTCGTAACTTGGTATAGTAACATTTATCTTTCTTCTTTCTTAAGTTCAAATTTTGTCAATATTTCGAAGATCTTCTTCATTCCCCCTCTCAAATAACACAAAAAATGGTATCATCGTTCTGATTATGATTGTAATATTTGCTCCTAGACTTAATGTCAAAATACACTGCTAACATAAAAATAAGAAGATGTGGTATGATTGCCAAACAGTACTCTCCAGCTGAGACCAAATGATATAGAGGTTAACAACTATAGGTAACCGTACGGCCTTCAACAATTAGCAAAACCGATACCGCATAGTCAGCTATAAAAGGCCCCGAAATGACAAATGTAAAGCAATTCAAATGAATTAAAAGGTATCGAGTGTCTGATTATGACAATAAACGACGGAACATGTAAGCTAATGTTTTCTCCATCTCGAAATAAAATTATGATGTGTATGATTACCTAATGACTTTATCCAAATTACGGAACACATCTTATAACTATAGCATCAAAAACAGTAAGTTGTAAAATAGTGTTCTATTTAAGGCGCCTATTTGGCAATAAATGGATTTTTAGATAGTTGAAGAATACTATAGTCTTCAATGTGGGTTTATTTTTATTCCAAGATTGTTTTTTGCGTGTGTTATAGGTCATTTTCTGTTGACAGTCCGTATCTTCACATCCGTACCGCCCATAGGTCCAGATAAGTCTAAGGTAGCACTCCACAGTTAGGAAATAAAATTAAAATTGAACCACAAAATGTTCAATCATCTTCTTATCCTGGCTTTCTAGTACATTAAGTCATCTGTTTGTGTCATGCATGTGCATGTGCATATGTATATAATCAGTATCTTCTATATGATGTGATTTTCAGAAATTAAAAAGAAAATGAAATATAACTCATTTTGTGTATCCATGGCAACATTCTGCATTTATTTACCATATCATAGTGCAACAAGGGGCATGAAAATGTCATATATTCCCAAAAATGTGGTTCAAAATATAATATCAATCCCTTTGAGGAATATCTTTTCTGAAATTATTAACATAAATCTTCCAAATGATTAAATAAAAATTGGGTGTCTTTTGTCTAATTTTTTGTTAAAATTTTATCACAAAGTTCGTGCGACAAAAAGTTCGAAAAAAACTTTAGAATAAATTCCGGACCAATGTCTGTTATGGTAAATGAAAATAGACTGTCAAACAGACACAGCCCGTAATACATACATTACACAATCTTGATGTTCCTACTATGAAGGCTAAATTAATCTTTAGCTATCCAAAAATGAATTTAATAAGACACTAGCTTACATATTTGAAAAATTCGCAGGGGCCAAAATGCGAAACTACACACCTAACTGTGTAGTGCTACCTAATTCGGTAGGTCACATTCGAGGAATATAGGACGGGATTGTGGTTACGACAATTGGAACATATATCCGTTGTCATCTGTGAAACAGATATTCCATAACGGTCAACCAACTCGTGATGCATCCGTAGGATAGGAACAAGGAATAAGACTTTCAGTGAAAAAAAAAGGGAAAATGTCCTTAGTCGACTACTATATAAAAAGGTACAAATGTAGGGATCATTAGACAGATTTATAGGATTAAATAAAATGTTTGTTGGCGTTAAGCGGTAGGTAGGAATTTTTTCTCCGGATTTACTGCGGCAAAACATAGTTCAATGTGGATGATTATAATCAAAGTTTACCATGTACTTTTACAAAGCATAATTCTACAAAGGTGTCTTCATTTTCTCTACTGTTGAAGAAGAAAAATCTTTTTGCAGGCATGTTGCAGACTCTTTCTTGTGTAAATGCAGGTGTGCCAGGTCCCGAATCTTTGTAACACAACACCGCAGAAGTATCAAGAATGTCGGATCCATTTGTTAGATATAAACGGAATCTTTCTATACGTCTCCGTACTATTTCTGTACAAAATGTAAGTAATAATTTAATTCAACTTAAAAAGAAAGCTATTTTAGAAGAAATAAAACATAGTACTGTAACTTAAGTTATACCGGTGGGTTTATGTAAAATTTAAGGTAAAGGTGTATTCATACAGCCATGTGTACAAACTGCTTTTGAGACATTATAAGTCCCTGTTGAGATGAACAAAAGCAATGAATGTCATGTTAAGTGTTTTATTTTTTGGATGATTTGCTACAAAAAAATATATTGTGTTGCAGGAACGTCAATCCTTTAACTTTCATTTCAAATATGAATTCATAGCTGGTTTCTTTGTGTGTTTACATGTACATGTCTTTGTGTATGGATGATATTTTCAAAAGACAACGGTTAAGTTGCTATCAACTGAAAACAGAGCATCCCAGAAAGTAAAAATATTAATCACGCAGATACAGCATGCAATATACAGGAAAATGAAGTTATTATAAGTAAAACGTGAAAATACGAAATATGTAACAAGAAAAAATTCAAACAATAGCTACGAAAATGTTGGAAAAATAATAAGATGGTTCTTCGCAGTATCGAATACATGCATGGGTTGATGTCTCGTTGGCGTATATCTTGCATCCTTTTTTATTCATATTAGGAGAAACAAGATAGTTGATAGTAGGAGAAACAAGATAGTTGATAGTAAAAATATGCTTCAGCTTTAAATGTGAAATGTTAATGAAAATAAAATGAAAAAATAGGTTTTCCTTTAAATAATAGTGAAGAACATTATCATCGACGTCTGAGGAGAAGTTACGTCATAATGAAGAAATGTTATCAAGCTTCCTTTTGTCAAGAGTAAATAAAGGCAACAGTAGTATACCGCTGTTCAATAGTAATAAATCGATTAAGCGAAAACAAATCCGAGTCACAAACCAAAACCGAGGGAAACATATCAACTATAAGAGGAAAACAACGGAACAACAGAAACACTGAACTGTAACAAAAACAAACGCCAACGTACATAGACATTGGTACAGGACATTTTGAGAATAAATGGTGGGTTGAACCTGGTTTTATGGCTAGTGTCTAATGGAAAGACCAGTAACAGAATCATCAACAGATTAATGGGGTTTTCTATAGCAACGTAGATATAGTCAAATATCAGTCTCTCGGCACAATGTAAAGCCTTTTAGCACATTGTGGCTCGCGGCTGATATTTTACGATATGAATATACACTAAATTATAATCTATATTTATCTGATTGACACTAAATACTAGTTTGATGTGATTGTTCATAAGTTATACATGATGCATGTTATGCTTTCTACAAACGCATACGGTGCTCTCGTCCTTATTACTTTTATTTTTTAATTTGTCTTAGTTCTGTGTGTCCTCGTGTATTTTTACCACAAACTTTATTTTCTTTTCATTTGGAATCTAACAATGTGCATAACAACTCGTCCTAAATTTTACCGTTATGTTGTAAACCAAGCCCGGAAATTAAGTTACGATCCGGGAAAACTTATGAATCCTTTAAATAAACTTATTCTAAAAGGTTACCTATTCAACACTGTAATTAAATCTTTGAATATTGTTTTTATTGGTATAAATATTGATTTTGTTATCAGTAAATTAAAACCATACTAAATATTACACATATGTACTTTCACGGTACTACAATCTGTCGATACCTATAGTTTGGCATTGCACAAGGTCGTATTTTTCTCTGACTGTTAACGACGTCTTTACACTAAATTCATTGGATGTTGGATTTGCACTGATTGATATTTTAGTCTTAGATACTTGCTTTTTTTTTATCAGTTGTTATTGGCTTTGAACTAGCTGTCAGTAACTGCGAGTACTCTCCGATCTGCACTAATTATTTACTATTTGTATCCATCTGCTGAGTTATGCCTTTTTCAACTGACTTTTATAGTTTCTTCTTATGTTGTACATGTACTGTTACACCACTGTCCCAGGTTAGGGGAGGGTTGAGCGCTCACAAACATGTTTAACCCCGCCACATTCATTATGTGCCTGTCCAAAGTCAGGAGCCTGTAGTTCAGTGGTTGTCGTTGGTTCATGTCTGTCATATTTGTTTTACGTAAATTGTTTTGTTATAAATTAGGCCGTTAGTTTTCTCAATTGAATTGTTTCATATTTTTCATGTCGGGGCCTTTTATAGCCGACCATACGGTATGGGTTTTTCTCATTGTTAAAGGCCTTACGGTTGCCTATAATTGCTAACATCCATTTCATTTGAACTTTGGTGGATAGTTGTCTCATTGGCAATCATACCACATCTCCTTATTTTTATACTTATAAGGTAGTTAAAACAACGAAATACTAATATAATATCTTAAGCAAGAAAAAAAGAAATAAAAACATTAACGTTCAAGTATACTCTGGTTCATCTGGGTTGTTTTGGTACATTGTTAGACAGGTTTACTCAGTAAATAGCGACCAGGTAAAAATTATACTTATAATAGAATGAATTATGCATCTTTTTGATGAACTTTCTGATCTCATGGTTTTAATATTCAAATAACATGAATAACTTACGTTGCCAAAACGGTAAAGGAAAATATAATTAATGTATGAAAAGCAGGCTAGTATTTCTTTTCCAGAATACCCGATATTACGTCATGTTTAATGTGGTCTTTTATTTGCTGACTAGACAGTAATAACATTCTTGTCTGTTCTGAGTGTCTGTTTTTTTTTACAGGTACACATGTTTTTTTTAATTGATTGGTATTCTTTCTCAGTTTGGTGCTTCCATCGAGAAATCATGCCCTATTATTTTTCATGTAATACTGTCGCTTCAGAAATAAGGTCGCAGTGCGTATTGGGAAAGCAGAAAAGAACTTGAAAGTTTATACTCAATTAGTCTTTTACAGAAGTGCAAAACGTTTCAAGATTGGAAATATTAACTTTAAAACATTTTCATTACCGATGGAGTAATATAATACAAAAAGTTTAATTTCTCTCTATGATTAATGTGACCATTACATATTACGAAATGTATGACACTTACCAGTATTTCGGTAAAATATCTTTATATCTGTGATGAAAGCAAGCTTCGGAAGGTAAAGACTCCACCATGCCTTCCTTTGACCTGGAGATGTATGCGAACACCATTTTCCCCATTTATTAGTTTCCTCTCCCTCTATAGCTCGGATTGCAAGGTATGCATAGTTGGACGGATCTACATATGTTGTTGATTGTGACACATTACCCTCCAGAGCAAGGTTAACTACAAACCACATGACTGTTTTAATTTATAATCATTATTACTTTTTGGCTACAATATTTACATACCTTAATACAATACTTAACATAAAGTAATTGAAGCAAAAATAAATTTATCTACAATTTCAGGTTATTTCGATGATTTGATAGTAATATTAAGAATTTGTAATAATGTTAAGTATAAAGCTAAATCATTTTGAACAAACTGCTTTCAAAAAGATATTACATTTAGATAATAATACTGCCTTTGAAAACTTCAACAAACAATGCAAATCTTTGATAATTTTTTTGTTACTTTAATTAACGAAATTAAAAGAAATTAGGAATGAATTGGTCTCCAACAAAAAAAAAAAGAGCGGAAATGGCGTTCCCGGAAGTGAAAATACGGTATAAAAAGAAAAAAAATGACGGAAAAATCTTGAACTCAAAAAGCGGAAATTCGCGGATCCGCAGAAAAATTTCATCACTGAGAAATATATATAACATTACTGTTTAAAGAATCGCCGATTGTATGTATGTTATCTGATAGCCGTAGGCTCACATTCGATCGTCTTTCTCACAAGATATGAAGAAACGGTGAAATTTTGAGTGATGACCATTGCTTTTCTTCCAGGCATGATAGCGGAAACAATGCTAAAGCCCCTTTAAAGTTATCTCCGGCGCAGAGTTTTATATAAATACGTTTCGTATATGCTTCGCAATGGTCCCTTAATAGTTCGTGTACAATCGGCAAACCTCGACCTCGACAGCTAATTGCCATTATATATATTCAATTTGATACATTGTAATTCATACATAAGACAACAATACAACTGGTATATATTATATTTATTATATTTATTATATTATATGGGCTTGTATTATATTTGCCTTCGGGTTTATATGATCCGTTCGTCCTATTTCGACTCTTCAAAATTCAAGAGTCTATCCTAAATTGAGGTAAATTATTTGGCCTTCCAAATACCGTTTCGATTCTTAACATTACTGAAAAGACATAAATTGTCGAAATCCGGATATGGTGTACAAATTTTTGCACCTCATGTTTGCGGTATACCATCTTTTCCGCAAGTTTATTGTTTTCTGTTTGGTATTAGATTATAATAAAGATCTATTTTGTTACATCTTGTGATCCGTTTATTTGGCAATCGCCAGTGGCAGTCAGCAGGGTTTAAGAATATCCGTTGTTCGACCTGTTAATCAAATGCGTTTTGTTTAAATATACTTTTTCACTTTTTTGGTCCTTTGGAAAATGTTGTTTGTGGTAGCAATACACAGTCAGGAAAAAAATCTTAAAATTGACACTCATAATTTTTAACCACCCTCTTTTCATTCCTATGTAATAAATAAGGCTTATTATTTGTGTTATGCATATGTATATTTCTGGAAAGAGCATCTTCCATAGATTTCATTTTCAATAGTTAAAAAGGTGAAATATAATCGCTTTTTGGTGTAACCATGGCAACAATCTGCATTTATTTGACACAAAATATTGCAAAAAGGGGGGTGAAAATGTCACAAAAGTCTCCAAAATTTGGTCTAAAGGAAAATTTCAATCAATTAGAGTGATACCTTTCCTGAAACCATAGACATTTATCTATCAAGAGGTCCAAAAAAATTCATATGCCTTTTTGCTCGTTTTTCCATAAAATTGAATTGAAAAGATCGAGCGTCAAATCTTTGTTGATAAACAATACAATATTTTTTGGACCTATGGGCGGTACGGATAGGAAAATACGGACTGTCAAACAGAAAAATGGCCTATAAAACATG